GGCTCCAGAATCACGCCCTCGGCGAGTATGTCGTCGAGGCTGGGTCTGATTCTAGCGGCCATTAACGGAGTGAAGGGGGAATCGTGACGGAATATTCCGGCGCGGCAAAGGGGGCAGTTGGCGTGGGAACGGAGCCATATGTCGATGCAGTCAACGTGGAAGGCGTGGGCGCAGGCCGGCAGAGTGCGGACGTAGTCGTCGTCCTCGAACTCCAGAAGGCACACGGCGCAGTCGTGGAGGAGGCCGCCGCCGCAGCCCTTGCGGGTGAAGATGGACAGGGGGATGGCCTTGATGACGGCCTCGTCGAGGCCGTAGGGGGAGAGGACGCGGAAGGCATCGACTGGATCGAAGGGGTAAGGCGGAGAATCGACTTCGCCGGCGGACGTGGAGGGGACGTAGCGTCGTCGGCGGCGACGCCACCGGCGGTAGCGGCGGTATGCGTGGATCAGGCGGCGGGAGAGGAGGCGGGAGTAAGTGATGATGACGAAGGCGGTGGCTATGATGACGACCATGGCTATTAGCGGCGGGCTGAAGTCGACCGGCAGCTTCGACGGTGGAGAGGAGGATGAGTTCGACACCGTCGCCGCCCACTGCGGTGGCGTCTGGCGTACTTCGGCTGGGGATGAGGAGGGAGACGGCGACCGTACGCCCCACCATAGGACGGCGGGATCCGGTGCCGGCGCGGGGGATAGACGGTGGTGGTGGTGGCGGGGCATGGGCGGCGGACGGTGGTGGCGATTTTTTTTTTTTTTGTGTGAAGTTTTTTTTTTCTTTTTTATTTAATGTGATTGATGAATGTGGTTGACTGGGTGAGGGAGTGTGGGTTTTGGTTTATGAGAGTTTTTGTGTTTGTTTATGTGGTGCCCACTAGCCACGTCATAATTTTACTGAATTTAATGCCACGAGACTTGTTTTCAGACTTTTTATTTATTTATTTTTCAGACTTCTTGCTTAGACTAGTACAACACCCGTGTATTACACGGGTGCTTATTAAAGAATTATTCTTAAATTTTAAAATTAATGAGAAAACTATATTAAATTTAATTTACTTTTTTACAAAAAAAATATATTACTATATCTTTTAGAATGATATGTGTTACTTATGACATACATGTGTTATATTATATTAATTTTTATAACTTATATCATATAACTACTTGAAATATAAATATATTAGTTGATAAATAATTTTATTGTTCTAATTAATATTAAAAATAATTTTATTATTGTTATAAAGATAAATATAAATTATTTTTTTTATACATACAATATGGATGTTAAATCGAAGCTCATCAAAAGAAGATTAATTTGATATATTACATATGTAAAACTGATAAAAAATACAAAAGTTATTAACTTTTAATATATATATACAGTTCAATAGTTATAATAAAGAATGATATTAAAATACAATTAATACATGTAACATGACCATAAATAATCAACATATTTATGGTAATCCGAACCTAATTATTTTTTGTTTGGAATTAAATTAAAATTTACCCAAGCCTAATAACGAAGCATGTAATTTTGCCACATAGGATTCTGAAGCACCAGAAGCAGCCACGTAGGCTCAGCGCATTCTGTATTAATATATAGGGGGATGTTGGATGTGTGTGTAATGTGTACAGCTTGAAGCGAGTGAAAGGGACTCACGTGATGGTCACGTGATCATGCTTGACTATCCGATGAAGATTGTGTATCGACGACTCGATTTTGTGTAAGAAGCCGCGATAACGGCCTTGGTTCGAAAACGATAAAATGTATAAACCTGCACTGACGGTATTGATTTACACATTAATAAGTGAAAAACTTGCACTATCAGTTTCTGTTTTCCACAAAAAACAGTACTGGGAAACGAGCATTTTTCTTAAACTTTATTTTATAAAACTTTATTTTTACAATAATGAGTACATGACTTTCTATAGCCTAAATCTAATTATTCAAATTATAACTAACACATTTAATCTAAACATATTTAAAACCTAAACAAATAAACTAACATCATTTAATCATTTATCCTAATGCAGGGTAGTTCCAGCTCGAAATCCAAACTGCCTTGGTTCAAGGTCCAGTTCCTATCATATCCATATAACGCGAGACATATACCGTATTTATGTTTTTTGATTAGTCAATAAGTAGCCTCCTTATGTTTTTTTATATTTTTTTTAAACGTATTGTACTAAATTTGTATTAGATAGTCGAAATTTCTATAATCACAAAAGTTGTTGTCTAAATTGACCAAATGTCCCAAATTATATGTGATATTTTACAATTACTATACCTATAGATATAGTGTCTCTTAAATTGCCAATTCTACATGTGTTTCAGCTTCAATCGGAAGATATATACTACAGTCTTCTTATAAAACCATTTCGTCGAGATTTGTAAACGTTAGATCATCATGTAACCGACAGGAATAGATGATCTAACGATTACGAACCCCAACGGAATGATTCTGTAACAAGACCGTTGCATTTCCCGCTTCAATCTTTCCATCCAAATCTTATAATAAATCGTTGACTATGTGAACAATTTGGACCCGAGTCAGAGAGTTCGTCCAATGGAGGACACAGTTAATAAAATGGGCTTAAATTCCAGTCCAATATGTAATGGGCCTATGACGATAGGCCCATGATTGTTATGCATAAAACTCAAACAAAACTCCTCCCACCACAGGCAAACACGGCAGCTGAAGCAAACAAGGGTTAGGGTTTTAGATCAGTCATCTTCCTCACCACAATCAAAATTCGTAAGGAAAACCGAAGGAAAAAAAGGTGCAAAAATGTTTCCAGGCATGTTTATGCGGAAGCCAGACAAGGCGGCGGCGCTGAAGCAGCTCAAGAGCCACGTGGCCATGTTCGGAGCTTGGGTCGCCGTGGTTCGGGCCACCCCGTATGTTCTCCACTACCTGTTCGATCAAAATGAACCGCTGAAGCTCGAGCTCTGATCTTAATCTGCCTCGATTTAGCTCTGGTTCGAGATTTGAACTGATCTCTTTGTTTTGGTATCTTTGTCCTGTTCGTAATTTCATTGGATGCTTAGCTTTTTCTTATCTCTTGATGTGAACAATATTGGTGCATATGCGTGTGACTATGGTGATTTGGTTTTTTGTTAGAATATTGAATATGGGTTTTTGGTTGCTGGCTTGCTCGGTAAAAAATTGTAGTGTTTTGAGCCATTTGTGCAATGCTGCTATTGCTATCTCATAAATTTTGAATTAAATTAGCAATCTTGAGTTCTTCTGAGTATAAATTTATGTGACTGTATATAACATAAATAGAGGTGAAGCTTATCGGACCTTTACTTTATGTGGGGTGAAATCGGTGGTGACCATAAGGAGTCGAATAGTAAGAAATATGTACAAATTCCAAAAAAATTAAAAATGGAGGAACTATTTCTTGCATTTGAGTTATTTAGTTGAACCGAGCAAATGATGTTGATGTTTAATTTAATAGGTTGTTTTCTAGTTGCCTTGCTATTCGACAAACTTGTTCCCTAAAATACTTGCTTTCTTGTGGTATTTTAAAGTTGCAGCTTTTATTCGAATTTGTAAATATTTGCAGCTTTTACTCAAATTTGAAAGGAGTTGTTAGGTCCTAAGCTACATAAGTATTGTACTTTTCTGATTCTTATAGTTCGAAACGATCAATACGTAGAATCAGAACAAGTAATTCTCAATTGTTGAGATTACATGACTTCTAATTTGTGAGTTTTAGTGAATGTCGTTTCTTTCTTCACGATACCTTATTCGCGAGAAGAAAACCAAGTACTCAAACTTCATTACACACTGGTAGACTTGGTACTAATTACACATTGATAGACTTTAGTGCACACTCATGGACTTTCTTAGTACTCGTTAGTTTATTATAGATGCTTTTATTTAATTCTTTTGGAAATAGATAACACAAACTTATATAATATTATGTGAAGATTTAAGGCTTCATTTCAGTCTTGATAGCAGCAACCAAATGATTATAGGCCACAGTCCACGCATCCTTCATTTCTGGTGACCACATTTCTCCAACTGCTTCTTTTATTGTCTCCAGTAATGCATATTTTGCCACCTGAAATATTCGTTTTTATATATAAACACGCTACTTCTGTTCATATGAACATTTTTTTTTTTTTATTATAAGTGTCCTAGTTTTTTAATTGATTTAGAATTGTTTTTTATCTTTATTTTTGTTACCTCAAAGTGTTCATCCATAACGCGAGTTTTGGCATGTACGACACCCAGCCTCTTGAGGCTCGAATCCCTGATCACAACTTTCCCTTCTTTTCGGAGTTGGATTGCAACTTCACATGTCTGTCAAATTATTTTGATAGTTATCACTCTATTACGATTTATGAATGCATACTCATAAAATCGTCATCTTTTTTTTTTTTTTAAGAAAACAATTCATAAATTATTGGGTGAGATAGCATGTCATTAGATGGGTCGATTCGTCATAACTTATGACTGAAAAATGTATACTTATACTATGAAATATTATATATATTTTTTTAATATTATTTTTCATAGTACAACATTTTACAATTATAGAATTCATTTTTATACAAATAGTACAATGGCATACTAACCATGACAAACACATACTTGGCATGTGTCTTGAGCTTAGGATTTTGCATAAGTGGAATTTTGGAATCTTTCAAAAATGAGAACAAATTTTGGGCCGATGGAGCTATCTCAAATATCCTGATCCAATAACAGCATAACTTTCATAAAATTAGAAAAACCACATGTATAAAAAAATTAATAAATAAATAAAATTATTTTAAGTTTCTTACTTGAGAAAAAGCTTGAGAGCCCAATCACCAGCATCCTTCTTCATCAAATTCCATGACTTAAAAACCAAAGCTTCTTGTTCTTCGGTGAACAAAATTGTATCTCCATCTATAAGAACCGAGTTTTTTACCATTTGATCAACATACACTTGTGGGGATATATGTGTTTGTGTCTGTGTCCAACGGTCTATAAAACCTAGTCCTGCTCACCTGCCCACGGTGGGCAGTGCCCACCACTTAATTTTACATGAAAAACGTATTTTGAGAATACATTTTTCAATTAATTTAATTGAAAAACGTATTCTCATATACAACGAAGAAATAGAGCAAGATTGACACTAACACTTCATGTTATTAGCCATTGTTTAATTTGATTTGAATGCTACAATAATAGCAATGTATGAACATATACAATGAGGGAATAGAGCAAGAATGACACTACTAACCGTTCATGCTATTAGCCATTGCTTAATTAGATTTGAATTTCTTGTACAAATTGCAAATGTTGTGTGAGTTGGTAAGAACATATTTTAATTGATGGGTTTGTTTATATAATTAGTTAAAGTAATGTATGTAGTGGCCTTTAAGTTTGGCCCTTCACAAGAGTCTAAAGCCGTGCATATGGCTGTGAGCTAAGCAAAATTGAATTTGACATCATCATGATGACGTGCAACTTTGTCTGTGTTTGGTGGGACCAGATTTTTACTTAGAGGACTCCAGGTGGCAGAAGCTGATTGGCTGCTTTTCATGTTTTGTTATATGGATGTCTTCACTATCTAAATGGAATCTGGATTTTATGATACCTTTCACATTTACTTTTTTTTTTTTATGTTCATTGTTATTTCTCATTTTAATCTT